GGCAATGCGGCGTACATAAACCTGAGAGTGATTCAGGCAGAGGGAGCAACAAATACAAGGCCGTGAGGCAGGATGATGCCTGGTTACTCGAGTAGCATTAAGGAGATGAATATGATTACAGGCAAGATAGTAAAGGAAAGGTGAGGGAGGTAAACTGAGGCAGTTCTCCAGCCACTTGTGAGGACTTTGACTCGGACTCTGAATGAGATAGGATTCATTCTGCTCAAGCTACCATAGCATAATATGGCAGACTGGGTGGCTTACGCAACAGAAATGTATCTTCTTATAGTTCTAATGGCTGTGACTCTGATATCAGTATGAGGGTATGGAGATTTTGACGAACCCTCTCTTTCTGGTTTAAAGAAGCTTCTTTTTGCTATGTTTGTACATGAAATAGACTTTTCTGGTGTCTCTTCTTGAAGGTTTGAGGGCTCTATCATCAGGACAGCATATAAAATAACTGTCCCACAGAAGCCCATCACCAAATGCCACCTACTATAGTATGAATGTTTTTCTATCTCCAAAATTCTTCTATTGAAATATGCCATGAAGGCTGAGCTTTCATGAGTGACACAGTGCTCACATAAAAGAGAGACCGGAAATAACCCCTTTTTCTTCTCACCATGGAACATAGAAGGTATTATTTATGAGCCAGGGATCAGGGCATCACCCATAGAATTATGTGATGTATAGAGAAAGTGAGAAGTGAAGAATGACTCGAAGAATTGAAACCAGGAGTGTAATGAAAAAAAATTTCTATTAATAGAGGTAGAAAAGAACTGCAGGCATAGAAGACTTGGGAAAGATCTAAGTAGGAGTTATATTTTAGATACAGTTAACCTTGAAACATCCATTTAACAATCCAAAAAACATAGGCAGTTGTAAAGGCAAGCCAGAGTGCCAGCATTGGTGAAATGTCTGTATTTAAAGCCTTTTTGTTGGGGAAATGATCGGGTGCATTTCTGTAATCCCAACTACTAGAAGGCAGGGGCAGATGGATCATAAGTTCTAGGGCAGCCTGAGACATTTAGTGAGACTCTGTCTCGAAATAAACTATTACAAAACAGATTTAGAGTATCACTCAGTGATAATGCATTACTAGGTTGGGTTCAAAATATTGCTAAAAAAAGAAACCTTATCACCATGTAAAATCTATGATGGAAAGAAGCAGAAGATATGACACTTGGGGATTATAATACTCAGAGTTTGAAAAAAATGAGACAAAAACAAGAAAGGATATTAAGAAGCAAGATACAAGAAAAGCAAGATTGGCATACTGTAAGCCAAATGAAGAAAGCGTTTTATGAAGAATAAAGTGACAAACAAGATAACTGAAAATAATTCAAATATTCACCAACTGTGGACTGAATAAGCACAATATTACTTACTCATGCAATTTATCTACATCTATGTTATTTAGCAATATAAAGTAAAAAGCTATTGTTACTGATACAATGTAAATGAAATTCAGAAAAATTATGCTAAGGAACCAAACACAGGAATACAAACGCCTAAGCACATATTGCATAATTCCTCTCAAATGGAATTTCTAGAGAAAGGACCAATGAAAAATAAAGTGGTATCTATATACAAGGAGCACTACACTGTCATTCAAAAGGACAAACGTGTTACTTGTAAGAAAATGGATGCACCTTGAGATCATAATACTAAGTAAAATAAATTAGACACAGGGCCTTAAGTACCATAGTTTCTTATATGAAAAACTCAAAATATAAATAAAAGTAAAATACAAGATAACAGGAAAAGCAAAAGAGATATTTTGCAAAAGGGAAAAGAACCAGGAGATAAAGGTGAGAGGGAAGGGAGGGAAAAAAGAATTCAATTGTGCAAACACATACAACTCCTCATGACATACTGCAATGCATATTGTAAACACATACCAAAAAAAGACAAATGTGTAGGGACAGATAGTATATCATTAATCACCACAGAAGTGGATAAGAGAGGGTTTGAATAACTTTCTGAAGTGATGAGAATGTTTTAATTTTGGACTTTAATGATAGTGGCAAAACAGTATCAATTTAATAAAATTCATCAAAACAAAAAATGTTTGTAGGTTATAAATTTCACCTCAATAAATCTGCTAGAGAAATAAAGAGACAGAGATGTGGTGGGAGAGTGTGAGGAGAAAATAGATGAATGAAATTTGACAGAGTACATACAAAACTTTAAAAGTGTTTTATTATAAAGTAGAGCAGAAAAATGAAATAGTAGCTGAACAAGCATGAATTTAAAGAGTTCTGCTTTTTCAGGTAGAGGAAAAATATAATAAACAATCCCTGGTACAGTTGCAGATGAGAAATGGGAGAATTGTGAACTTATTTGTTTCAGTAAAAATAATAGAGAAAAAATGATGAACTACAGCATATAAATGGAGGTTTGGCCTGCAAAGTGCAGCTATGCATGTATTGCATTAACAATAAGGGGAGGAAAGTGCCTATCTACAGATTCCAGTGGGAATTGCCTTGGTGAGCAGGGCTTCAGGGAATACCTTTCCATCCTTTCCAAAGAGAACAGCAAGTACGGTTATCACCCGAGAGTAAGGATGGGAAAGACATATTGAACCGTAATAAAAATATAGTAAAAAACAAATGGGCATCTTTTGAAATTTATGGTCAGCATTAAGGAGCACCTGAAGTTTACAGTACATGTTCTAAATTGAAATTGCCTTGTGGAAGTTTTGTTTGTATTTTAACTTTTAGCAGTATTAAGGAGAAACCTCTCAGGCATGCAGTAGGTTGAGGCCTGGATTTTACACTAACATTGGGATTTTGCAGCAGACAAGCCTACATAGGAAGCCGAAGAGGAACAAACCTGATGCTGCATGTAAGAAAATAATGATTGAAGGAGAAAAGTGAGAATCAAAAGAGGGAATGTAGACTGAAAAAGACAATGTCAATGATGTTTAAATTTCCATGATATTAAAGATCTTCTAGGATCAGGGCACAGGAATAGTAAGAAGAAAATAGTATAATCTGTACTGGTCAGGAAACAGGACCCTTGTGAGTGCTGCAATGGAAGGATTGTGACAGTTGGTAATTTGAGAACCAGTGGCCAGGTGGGTTGTAACACAAGCGCTGAATATTCATCTTGCTTTTCCACGCCTATCTCAATCAGATGTCACACTGTTTATTTAATAAATACTTATTAAATACTTAAATAAATCTCATATTTGTTTTTATTACATATGCAATCCATTATAGTATTTTTCCAATTGGAAAACTCTATGTATATTTCTCTGCCAAATGGGTAATTAATCTAATGTGTTACCTTTTGATATTGTTTTCTACATCATCCGCTCCCCCTTCACTTTCTGTTAAAACACATGGTTGAACTGTCTGCAATGTAGATTATACCTGAGAAAATCTTGCTTTTTTCCTAGTCATTTCATGTCATGTCTCCTAGCAGTTGTAAAGAATTTATTCATCCACTACAGAGTCCACTGTGTTCTCCCACCCCTTAATTTTTTAATCTAATATTACTCTTCAAATTCAACCTGCTTACTAATCAATATTGATAAAATCTATATGCACACTACAAGATTTCTCTGAACTTCCTATAAATTGTTGCCTTATTCATTAAAACATTATAATATATTGTCTTGAAGGAAAATAAATCTTATCTTAAATGCAAGTGAGGTTTTATGTGTTTACTGTAAACTTCCCAAATTATTCCTCAAAGAAATATTGGAGTGATTAACATACAAGGATGAGATGGGATACCTTTCAAATTATTCCTCACTCTGATTTAATTCTCTCTCTCTCTTCCTCTCTCTCTCTCTCCCCCCCTCTTTCTTTCTTTCTTCAAAGAGAGAATCTTGCTATGTAGCCAAGGCTGGTCTTTAAGCACATGGTGGTCCTCCTGTCTCAGCTTCCCAAGTGCTGGCATTCCAGGTGTGTGCCACCATGCCTGGTTTATAGGAATTGTAAAGCAAAAAAGAAAATTCTTGCTTGAAATATGATGCAGTTTATTTTCAATTTAAAAAAAATTAACTGAAGTTCAGATGAAGGTGAGAAATCTTAAAATTGATGTAAATTCTTCTGTTATTTTTGTTAAAAATTAACTATGCTCAAATCTAAAAGAGCTCTACTGCTCTACTGATGACACATCTGCAAACCAAGACATATGTCCCACTAACTAATGGAAAATGATTGAGATACAAAAACCCTGATTTCCGTTTCCAGTTTTCAACTAAGAAATTCAGTATATATATATATATATATATATATATATATATATATTATGTATATATATTTATTTGTTATGTTCTCCCTCTTTTTATCTCTCTCATCTCATATTAATTAATGCTAGTTAATCATAAATTGCATTATAGAAAAATTATGCCTGAATAAAAAGAGGTACTCATCTCAAATTATAGGACTTAACACAAAAAAAATAATTGAGTGTGAGTAGACAAAAAGATATATATAGTTTGCTATTCTGTTTCCTAAGCCTCATAAAGTACTATTTTTCTGAGTTTTACAAACAAATATCAAGCAGAAAAAACAGTACTCAGTAAACCATAGGTTTTTAGAAACACAAAGAATATTTCTTAGCAGTTTTTGTTTCAGTGTTGCAAAGAACATCATAAACAGCCAAGGACTCACCTTATCTTTCATAACAAGATGCACATTAGTATTCAGTTAACTCAACTCTGACACTCCAAACAATTTTGCAGATTTTCATTCTTTTAGTTTATTGCCTCCCTTACACTCTAGGCAATATATTTCTCAGTGAGGGAGGGCAGACACATAACTATGACAATCAATAGCTAGGTGGTGACAGAAAAATCTTATCATAGGAGCTCTGTGTCCAAAGGTACACAGAGTTTATCATCTTTAATTTCTTACCTGGTACTCCAGTTCATATCAAGAAAACCATGCACCTTCCACCCAAAATGTTCGTCCTGTCAATGCACTATCTACAAGAACAAACATAGTTCAAAAGAGCACAGCATTGTAGAAGAGACCCTACTGTACCTGGTGAATGAGGCGGAGGAGAGCACATCAGAACAACCCCCTGGCCTTCCCTCACGGAGACTGCACTTCTTGTCCGGCCGCTAAAATTTCCCAGATCTGTTGATACAACACAGTATTTAGATGCAGGACAAAAAAATTACTATTATTTTAAATCACTTTTAATTTCATATCAGTTTCCTAACAGTGTTTCTTTTTATTTCTTTTGCAGAGGTAGGATGACCTCATCAATTCATCTGTAACATCATTTAAATATCACAAGTTAAGTGACTATTGTAGTAGTCACAGAAATATTTTTTCGTATTTATAGTGCATACAGGTTACCATGGGGGGATATCCTAGATAATATACTATTTTTAACACATGCTGTTTAATTTCTTAATAGTGTCTCCTAATTATTGATCTTTCTTGCCACAAAATCCATTCAAAGTAGAAAAAGTGGTTAGTGCTTGTGCTGTGCAAACTGCTATCTCAATATTTTTCATGTTAAGAAGAGTATGCAAAAAACAAGGACAAATTTGCCAAATTAGAAAGACTTGTATGTTCGAAATACAATGAAGACATGCAATACTCTTGATCTAAAAATATGGATGAGAAAGTCACATTACATTCAGTTTATGGACACCTAAAGTGGACTGTACACATTAATTACATCTCTTCCATTTTGATTAGTCTGGGAGTAAGTATTACAATTATGAAAGTACTTAAACAGGGGCTGGAGAATTAGCTCAGCGGCATAAGCGCCTGCCCTGCAAGCAGGCAGTCGTGAGTTTGATCCCTAGTACCGATAAAAAGGAAAAAGACAAAAAAAAAAAAAAAAAAAAAAAAAAAAAAAAGAAAGAAAGAAAGAAAGTACTTAAACAAAGGAAGGATCATAAATTCAACTGGCCTCCCTTAAATAATGTTATATTTGCACCGATTTAAAAGATATTCTTAAAGAGAAACTGGCCCAAAAGGGGATGATGTATAACTTTATTTATTATTCTACTATTGCTTATTAATTTAATCCTAATTCAGGAAATATGCCCTTTCCTTTTTTTGGCTCAATCCATTAAAAACATGATTTTTTTTTAGAGTAGTTGCTTGCAAAATCATGAGTCTAAAATTTCTGTAAACTATCCCAGAATTCTGGATCTGCAAATCAGTGTTCCATGGTGAGAATACTTCTGGAAAATATTTTGCTATTCCTTTCATTATACACTAATTATGAGAAAGTTTTTGAATCATTTAATTATTTTATCCTTAAATAATAATGTTTCACAGAAATACAAGTTATAGCCTCAAATTTAATGTTTATTAACCTGACAAATGAGCAAATTAATGAAGAAAATAAACTGGATAAGATTGAAAAGAAATAAATTTCCATTCTTAAATATTCTAAAAGGAATATTATACATTACTATTTTTGAGAGATGGGAGGCAATTTACTTATTTGTTGAATTTATAACTTGATCTCCTTAAATATACCCATACTCACAAGAGGCTAATGAACAGTGAAACCTGGATATCAAATGCATAGAAAAATGGCCATTGAGAAATGTTATAGAATTTTATAAATAATTCTATATTTCATGGTAAATAAAAGCATTTCACAAATAAAGCACATAAAACCATACAGAGATATATTTAAGCTCTATAGGATCCTTTGCCTAGTATATGATTCCTGTGCTGGATTTCTAAAAGCCAACAATTGTGAAAGAAAAATATCAGTTCTAATTTATTTAGGGGCTTAGAGTGATGTTACTTAATCCTACAGTCTAACTTGTTTAGTGAAAATCAAGCTCATTCATTTGATAGTGTACTTATTTTAATGAGATTACATCTTTATTGTCTATTGCTAAATACTGATAGTCTCTTTTTGAATTTTATAAGTATAGGGTAATACAACATATACATTTGTGAGTCTGAAATCAATAAACTTATACGACTTGAAACTCAAATACATCGATTTTCAGGTTATATCTATTTCAACAAGTGATCTCAGTGTGAAGATAAAAGATGATTATTTTTCTAGTCAAGTAGCCATTGACTTTACTCTTCGAAATCCAGCACAGGAATCATATACTAGGCAATGGATTCTATAGGGCTTAAACATATCTTCAGGGGATATATGGTTTTAAGTGCTTCTATTTTATATCACTCAATTTATAAATTCTGGAGGGTACTTTAAAATTCTCTTTAAATTTCTTAAACCATTTCTAAAAAATATTTTTAAGTATATCCACTATAAGTTTATGTCATTCACATCATGACATTTCAAATGAACCCACTTTTTTTAAAAGCCTATTTTAATATAAAACAATTCTAAATTTATGCCAAGTTCTAGTAATTGAAGTAAAAGCGTAACTTAGAAATGAGACATGCATAAAAAAGAAAATTGTGGAATTATTATGACCTGGATTGTGTTTAGAGATCATAATGACCCAAAAGATTACTTTCAGTTGTGAGTACTTTATTTTTTAAGAGCTGTTAATGCAATTCAAGGCTTTCTCAAAGAATCGTCTGCGTCACTATTTTCTAGTATCTATAACACCAGTAATACAAGAATAAATGGATATTTTCCAATTACAAATAGACCTTTTTTCTTACATAAAGCCATACAGAGAAATAACAGATGTCTGTTCTTGCATTGAGAGTATATTTTTCTCATTTAATGCCTTCCTATAAAGTAGTAGCAATATTACACGTAATAGAGACATGGTGTTTATGTCAGGCATAATTTTGTTTGAGCTAAGGCACAATGATTTATGGGAGAAAAATCTTTCCGGTGTCAAGATGGAGACTATATTAAGTGAAGAGGAAACACAACTTTCTGTCTATATCTCATAGAAAACAGTTCCTTTGGAGGAAAAAATGGTTTGAGACCTTAGATAGAGCTCAATGGACATCTATGAAGTTTGAATGCTTATAACACTATTTTAATAAGTTATACATTTTATATAACAAGCAAAAAAAAACCAAAAAATAACTTCTATGAGTATGGGCCCTATATTTTTAATTTTCACAGGATCAGAAATATATCTTTCTGTTTTCTATTTTGGATAATTAGTGGAAAAATTAAAATATAAACCCCAGTATTACGACTCTAAAATTCCAGTGTAAAATACATACTGAAATAAAAATCCTCTTAAAACTACTACAAAGTTTATGAGAAATAGACTAGCTATGGGAAAGAAAAGTTTGTGATCAAGTATTACAGGGACCTAAGTCTTGGATTTGATCTTTCAGTTGAGAAACACATGCAACATTTAATAGGGGGCTTAATGTAGAACTGCCACTTAGCACTTACCTCCCATCTTGTGCCTGACTTCTTACCTGAGTTGAAAACACACACACACACACACACACACACACACACACACACACACAAACATGCATGCACAATTCTCTCTCTCTCTCTTTTTTTTTTTTTTTAAGTTGAGGCCTTTCTTTATGGCCCAGGCTGGCCTCAAATGATCCTCTCGTCTCAGTCCCCTTGAGGTAGCTATGATTACATGTATTTGTCAAAATACGTGGCTTACAAATTTTAGTATTTAATAGGAGATGAAACAAAGATGACATCATCTACAGAATTATGATTTATGTTTATTATAAAACCAAACCTTTCTAGTGACCCAGGAGAAGCAGAGTTTTATCTGATATTAGGATCTAAGAAAGACTGAAGATAACACTGATAGTGTAGTGGGCAGAGCAGCTGTGCAATCCAGTTAGAAAGTTTTAATCTGAAGGCCCTTTAACTAAAAATAGGAGTTTCACGACATACACACACACACACACACACACACACACACACACACACACACACAAACACATACATACACAGTTGAAAAATCACACCCTGGGAAGGATTACTTTAAGGTATTGGAGAGGAAAATGATACAGGCAACTGTCAAAGGAAGTGCATAAGGGATGATACTGGGTATTGTTAGGATCTTATGTAGATTACAGCTAATTGGTTTACTTTGAGGTAGTAGTTAAGGCAAAGGGCCAAGGCAAATAGGAGCTAATGGGTGTCTCGGGTTTATATTTTCCAGTCTTAAATATGTTCTGAATAAATGGCAATGTTAGACTTACAAGAGTTGTATGCTTAGAAGAGCGAGTGGCAGGGGCATGCTCATTCTGGTTTGCACTTGACTATAGTTATATTTTGTAGATCATACTAATGATTTCTAGACAAACAATGCTCCAGGCATTCTCAAAGAATTCTTCAAGTTTAAAACTTATGCCAATACAAATAAAACTCAGTGTGAATTCTAAAAGTTTTTATAAAATTGAGACTTAGGCAAGATCATCGGAAAGGGACAATAACTGCATACTGTGTAGAGGATTGCTGTTTAATTTAGTTTCATTAATTTTTGTATGGATATAAAGTTAATTATATGTAAGAGCAAGGAAAAGAATTGGGTGTTCATACAGCCAGTGAGTCCTAAAAAAATAACTGACACGTTTCCTCAGATTCACTGGGACTGTGCTGCTGCCTCACTGGCAAAGTGACTCACAGCAAGGGCTGTCATCAGTTTCCTTTGCTGCTCCTGTAACTATCATCAGGATTATTCAAGTTAGTGTTTGCTTTGTTTTTATTCTATTCAAAAGTCCTGTAGTAAAAATTGGTCAGACTTTGTACAGATATTCTAAAATATGAATAGAGGTGAGTGTTGGGAAATGAAACGAAATGTGGTTAGTATGTACTATCATACATATACCACTCCAGGCAAAATGGAAATTAGATATTAATATCTCTATTTAAAAATTAGTACAAGTTTTTCTTCTGTTTTGTTTTGCTGTTTTGCTCTAATATTACTGGAGGCTTCATTTTCTAGGACAGAGCTTTAACACTGAGGTATAGCTATTAATTCTAAGTTACCAAATTAGTATCAAAGCCAATAAAAAATTAGTTGTGTTTACACAATTGTTAATAACTGACATATAAAAGAAAACATGATTCATTATAAGGTTTAAAAAACATAATAGGACAGAAATAATTTAACACTTGGAAGTTATACCAACTTGGTTTCAAGAATTTAGAAATAATCTTTAATAACTGTATATTGTTTAAAATTAGTTTCTGTAAGATGCAAGATGCATCAGAGAAAATTAAT